AGCTCCGTTCCCATGGACACCTTTTGTTTGATCTGGATATTTCCAGCGTAAGACGTGTGATTAATCCGTATCTAAAGCCGTGTCTACATGGGGTGACCACACGGGAAGTGGCGCGAGGCGACAAATCTTCTACAGTAACTGATGCCTCCTTCTATCCCGAATCTTTGAAACATGCGTTGTATGTGTTGAAAGTGAAACCTAAAAAAAAACAGCGCGCATAAGAAAGCGATTGCACGCAGAATTGTTAACGATATTGCCAATATCCACACAGCTGACAACTCTACCCGTTGTAGTTTGTTCAAGTTGTGCACGAAATAGACGCTGCTTTTGTGCACTTACAACTTCGCACGTCTCCGTCATTTCGATCTCTCTCGTGCCGCTCAACTGAGCTGCGTTTAGCAGGTCTGTGTCAGTGCTGCTGTTGCACGCTTTCACGAGCTTCAGCAAATGCACGCGATCACAGATTGCGCTTCCCAGCCGAAATAACCCCCCACGTGAAATTGAAATAATAACCCGTGATTTTGCGTCATGTAGGCTACACTTCTTGTACTTCGTTTGGGCTAAAACTGTGATGCGCATTGTCTCAGTTTAATACGTGAACATAACAAAAGATGTGATCGCAAAACAATCAGAAAAAAAGGCATTACATGCAAATTTTTACGTCAAAACATGTAAATATATAGTTGCCAGTGGCGACCTCAGCAAAAACTTAACTCAGCAAATTAGTATTTTTGGTCGCAAATGCGACCGTTTTAGTCGCAGTCTGGAGCCCTGAAGGACCAAGTCCAAACCTATCCAATGTAACACCAAATTTAGCTTTTTAACGAACAGTACTTTTTGTTATCAAGTGCACCATTTTGATTTTGTTTGCACGATTCTGAGAATATCATATCATGAGATATCATGTATCAAACTGAATCATGACATAAGGGTGTTGTTAAACCCCTAATACATATATTTTTTTATTTTGATTGTGACCCCAACATGTTTTCCTGAGGTTCGCCTGCAGATCCGGTCAATCCTACTAAATGTAGGATTTAACAATGGTCAGAAATGTGCAATGATGAACACACACACACATCCCGCTCTCTAACTTTTATCACACTCACAAGCAAACACTTGCCTTTTATCTAAACCCTGACATTCCTCGAGTGACTCTACAGCCCCGCTCTTCACAAACACTGTGTGTGTGTGTGTGTGTGTGTGTACCTAGTATTCCCGATGTGATGGGGACCGAATGTCCCCACAAGGATGGTAATAACAGTAAATATTGTCCTTGTGGGGACATTTTTGTCCCCACGAGGAAACAAGCTTATAAATCATACAGAATGAAGTGTTTTGAAAATCTAAAAATGCCTGTAGTTTTGTGTGAGAGGTAGGGTTTAGGGTAAGGGGATAGAAAACACAGTTTGGACAGTAGAAAAACCTTTATATCTATCGAGAGTCCCCGTAAGACATCGAAACCCAACGTGTGTGTGTTATATGAGTGTCAATCAAGCTACGCTGCTCCTGACTGCCTGACTAACTCACTGACTGAAGGCATTTCTGCTATGCTGCATGGAGGAGCACAACTGAATTACAACACACTCGTGTCCTTTAGCAATCCAGAGAAAGGCTGAGGCCCAAGTACACCGAAGACCATCACAAAACTGTCAGTATAAGACAAACGGTCTCTATGATTATGAGCAGGGCTAGGTTTAACAGCAAAAAAAGCGGGCAAACAATTCCCATACATACCTGAGCCATATTCAGAGACCAGAATATGTTATGCTTTATACTTATTTAAAAACATTCCAGTTTACGATGTGCGTGCTCATTTAGATAGCTAGCTGAACATGTGCTGGTTTGTGCGCGTTTTGATCAAATCTGTGCAGGACCTACTTATATGAGATATATTTTGACATGGAACATTCCATCATGCATAAAATTCCAGTAATTGAGGCAGTGGTTCCTCTTCCAGTGTGAACTCCTGCCCGAGCTTGTCTGCATGAATGCAGAGGGAGAAAAAGTTCAATGAAAACACTCGTTTATAGACAGGAATTCAAAATCATATCATAAATTTAAAAAAAAAAAACTTTCATGTACTTCTGAAGTCTTTGATGAGCCAAGTGGATATACAATAACATTCACAACTTCATCTCCAGTTCACCATGAACATTTACTGAAACTAAACTGCAAAAATTACTCATGATTATGACAGTGCAATTTTAAGCTCATTAGCATATGACCCGCCCACATTTACATGTCCAGTCCTATTCAGAATTCAGCAACTTGATTCGCTCTGATAAACAACAGTATAACTACAAAAGTACGCAGAGGCCAGCCAATCACAACAGAGGTCATTTGCATATAAAATTCTTAAAGGTACAATAGTCAAAAAACTGTTGTTTTCAGCTAAAATACAAGTCAATAATCGATAATAACACCTCCTCCAGTGAAAAAGTCCGTCCCTTGTTGTTTTTTCACATCAAAATCCACCCACATATTTGTTTAGAGCTGCTTTGGACTGTTTTCACTTGTAAACGGTAGGGCTGTCAAAATGGCTGAAAAACTAAATTCGGATTGTGTACTTAAATATTATCAAAATTCGAATTATATTTGAATTTAAAATGCATAATTTCAGTTAGGGTGAAGAAAAGCTTTTGACTTCTCTTCGGAGTATAAAATAATGTTTATAAACCAATTATAATTAATTAAGTTG